GGGGGGGGAAGAGAAAGACTAACAGAAAGGTACTGAACAGGACTTCAGAGAGACACCTAGCAGAGCCCACCTCCTGGCGAGACCGCTCCTGCCTGCTCTTGCTTTCCAGCTACATTCCAGCACCAGGCGCATTAAAATGCAGAGATGTTAATCCTCGTGGCAACGCTTAAGAATATTCACAATGTGCTTAGCACAAAAGAAACACACACAGCTGCTTTTTGTTCACCCTTTTGACTTAAAGGACAGGCTCAAATCCTTCCCAGTTCCAAACTGCTGTACCTTTGCATATGAGATCATCACCCAGCAACGCTGGAGAAAAACAAACCCAATTTCACAACTTTTCACACCTGCTGGATCTTTACCCCCTCGTTTCTCATCTTTACCGCTTTTTTTTTTTTTCTTAATGTTTAGCTGTTAATCTTACCTCACAGGCACTGCAGCATGGATGGAGGTGAAGGAGACAAGCGGAAAGGGAGAATCATATTTGTTATTCGTAGTGGTGCCTAGAGGCCCCAGCCGAGGGCAGGACCCATCAGGATGAGCGCACAGGCAGAATAGATGCAACTCTGCTGGAAAGCCAGCGATATAAACAAGCAAGTTGGAAAAAGCCGAGGAGGGAGCAAGCATCATCCTCAGCTGGGGAGCTGAGACCCAGAGGAACTGGTGACCTTCCTCCTCCTATCTTGCAGGAAGCGGGTGGCATCCCTGGGAGACAGGTCGTACCTCCAGCGTCCCAATTCAGTGACTCACCCCCAAAAACCCCCCCCCCCCCCAGCTACTGGGGAATACTCCTAACTATTTACAGCTGTATTTTTCTTTGCATGGGCCTCAATCAATATCATTCAGCCAAGAACAGGTTAACCCCTTCCTTTTCATACTGCAAAAGATGCAGGCATCAAACGGTTCTCTGCGGTCCCACTATTTTTTTCTTTTTTTTGGGTGCCAAAAATGTCACTCCAATTCAACATCCGCCACAAGGCACAGGATCTAACTAAATAAAATCGGCGGTGAATGGAAGCTTTTTTATTCGTGCATGAAAGTAGCATAAATAAGCTTTAATGAGGCTGGTGGTGGTCTGTTCTGGGAACTCGATCAGAAAATCTATTTAGGAGACCTGAGAGGTGTTTGTTTGTAGACCAAAATGAACACAAGAAACAGGCTGAAAAGACAAGCCATGCAGCTCAACTGCTTTTCAGCTTTCTGCAGCTGGTTTACCACCCTGGATAAGAAACCAAAAGGGACGGTAGTTAATAAATCAGACTCAGGCTTGCAGCCTGAGATGTAGCAATAAATCCAGGGTGATTGCCTTAGGTGCAAATGCAAGAATGATTTTCACCCGCTCTTCTTTCTACAGAGTTTCACAAATTTAGTCTCATGAGTTGTCTATCAAAAGCCTGCCGTTTCCTAGCATTTCTTTCTTAATGAAAATATTTTTTTTTAAGCCTTGACAGCAAAATGGTTCTTGGCTTAGGCCACACTTACCACTTTTATCATCTCCTTTAGGCATTTCCAGTTGTCCTTTGTGTCCAGAGTGACTTCTTCTGCAAAACAGACCGATGATGTGATGATGACCTTTGAACTGAGAACCTAAAATTGTTGAATCCACACTTTGGCTCTTTGGCTAGAAATTGGACTAAACTGAGTCTGGTTTTCAAGCAGCAAAATTCCTGTTGCTTTTAGAGTTCCTCCCTACCAGGATTTACAGCCTGCACCAAGTTTAAAATTCTTCATTAAGACCAGTCTGCCAATGCTTTGACCATTACAAGTGGAGATGTTTTAATAATAGTAGCGCTGGCTCAATTTCACAATACATACGGATCATAGGAGGTCATCCGCTTTTCTAAGCACCCAAGTGTAACTCTCCATCCAACCGTGCCACAAGAAACTCACAGTTCTGTGCATCCAGCACTGATTTGCCACGAATGTTGGGCAGGAACATTGGCTCTTTCATGAGCATTTCTTCCTTCCATGTTGCCAGTGACACACGAAACACAGATGTGGGAGACACGCACACCTGATTAAAATAGACTCGACTATTCTTCTACAGCACCAGCTCTTAAGGACTATCAGAAAGGTGCACCAGCATCCCTGCGACATGAACTAACATGATTCCCCTTTCTTAGAAGCAAGAGAAAGGAATACCCCAGGCCCCTGCCTCCCTGCCCCCTGTAGCCAAAGGAGCAACACCCACAGGACCAGGCACAGGGGCACATAAATCCTGGGGAAAAAAAAGCCACTCAACAAGACAACTGTCTCACATAGCAATGCTTCCTGAGGCCAACGCCTTGGCTCTATAATATCTCTTGTGGGGTGCAGCATAGGGAATTGTCTTCAGAGCTTTGTTCTTTTGTGGACGGCTCTCCAAGTAGCAAGCTGTTTTCACTCTCCAGATCAGACCTCCTCCCTGGAACAAGACAGTTTGTCCTATTTGAAACTGTTTTCTTAGCTGCATAAGGCAGAACACAAACAAAAATAAATCTAAACATTTCTAGCAGAAGACACCCAACAGAGAAGTCCAATGCTGCAGCAAAGTGCGGCCAAAATTTTCCCAAATGAGAATTCCTCCTAACAGTTTCAAATTTAAAAAAAAAAACCAAAACAAAAAACACAAAAACATAATAGAGCAACATCCCCCTTCCTTCCAGCGATTTGTCGCGCTGTATCAGTGCTGCGGTTTGAGGGTTAGCCTGCCTTTCACGTGGGGCTGGGCAGTGCCAATGCCCGACAGCCCTCGCTCTTGCAGGAGCAATTCCTCCATGAACCAGGTCTTTGTTTTACCTCTTGCCCTGGCTGAGAGCTGTAAGAGGTATTGCTGCTTAGGCACTGCTGGAGATCTGTCAGAAACAAGTTTAACAGCTTTAAGCTGCTCCCTGGGGAACACAGGTCCCCATCGCGGTGCAGTGGGTGCTTAACTGCCACCCATCCTTGGGGCTGTCGATCCGGTCCGTGGAGCTGCGATGGTGTGGGGCTTTATTAAGGCAAATGTATCAATCAGTGTTAGGCCAACGGCACCATCATGCAGAACCACCTGGTGCAGTTGCTTGAGCAGCAAAGTAATCCCAAAGCCTTCCCAGAAATGTTCTGCAAGAACAAGACACACTGCCTGAATGGAGGGAGATGCCAAAATGGCCATGCTTGTCACCAGCTTTCCTCACAAAGAGGAAATGCTCCACTAATGCAAGCTATGTTATCCTGCTATGGAGACAGCTCGCTCCAGGTGAAACCCTTTCTCAGTGCAGAGGAAACACTCCTCTGCTTCTGCTGTTGTCAGATGTTGTCAGAAATAGGCCTCATCTGATGGGGGTTCCTGATCTACCCCCTCTTTAACCATCTGGAATGGAATCCTTTCAGAGCTGATGGTGGTAATAAAACTCCTTGTTCCATACTGCCTCATATATTGCACCGATTTCCCCCTTAATGTCACTGCAATGCTGCTGATTTATCACCCCAGGCCTCCAGCTCCCCTAAGGCTTGACCACAGTGCCTGGCTTTGTTCCTTCTCCTCCTGCCCTCCAGGAATTCAAAAGCAAATTTAAACATTAAAAAAACCTGCATTAGCCACTCGCTCTGATTGCTACTCGCTGTCTACGTAGCTGTCTAATCCACAGTTAATCCTCAGTGGTTTATGCTAAATGCCCACTCCAGTATCTGACTCACACGCAGCCCAAACTCTGCCTTGAATGTACCTCAGGGTGGGGGGACACTCTCCTTTTGGCCTCTCTGCTCAGCTGTTACTCATTTATTAAAATATAAGCCAAACATACAATTACGCTGGAGGGAACATGTTTCCTTGTTAACCCTCTCTGGCTCTTATCCAGAATTTCTCAGGCTGTGGGGATTTAAATTTTGCTCTGCAGAGTTTCAGGTTAAAAGTTGACTGCTCCTCACGCGCCTGATGGAGGGAAGGGGGACAAGGAGGGTTTTCTCTGACCAGAACCGCTACCTCATCCCCTGCGAGACAATACAGGAATGCACATCCAGAGTTTCTGGTGGCCCATCCCGAGTTACAGGGAGCAGCGCCTTGGAAAAGTTCAGCAAACCCTCTGGCCAGAAGGAAAACGGGACATAGGGTCATCCCTGCCAGCACTTACAAGGGCTCCCTCGCCCAGCCATGGGTATGGGCTGTGCTGGCAGCTGCCAGACAAGGGTCTTGGTGGGGCATGGGAGGGGGAGAGGATTTGGTTAAGGGTGGCAATTGTCGAAGGGGAGCGTGCTCCATGCTGGGAGCAGCTTGGGCTGAGCTTTAACCCCTGGTCTGAAAGGAATATCTCCAGTTGCACGCACAAATCCCTCAGAGGTCCTGTTTTGTGCCTGCAGTGAAGCAGAAACACATTATTATGCCTTGTGGTTTTAGAAGAGGTGAGGGAACGAGCATCTGGCACTGGGGTCCCCAAGCCTTAGCTAGCTGCAACCCCTTGTACCTGCAAGCAGAAGCTGAAGTGCAGAGACATAGCAGAGATACGCGCTGCAGGGCCATTAGGCTCCTGATCACAAGGAGGAGCCTTATCCCAATAACTGCATCTACAGGGCGACATTTGGCACCACGTCACCACAGGGGTGAGTGCACCACCCCTGCCAGCATTGCCAGAGCCTGAGGGATGGCACCAGAAACCAACCAAAAAACCCAACTCACATGTTTTTTCAGGTAACATACAGGCCACCTCCTATTTTCACTCGTATTTAGTGAGAATCTGATTCTCGGAATGAGCATGTCAACAAAACCAGATCAACACGCTCACTGGGAAGGTTAAGTCAACACAAGGGCATGTTTATTCAATTTTAATGTAAGTACAGTCATAGAAGTATCTGCTGGGAAGGAATTCTGGGTGCCTCTCATCCTGCCTCCCATACGAAGCAGGACTGTTGCCAACACTAGCTCAGCCCAGCCATGGCTTTGTCTAGCTGAGTCTTAAAACCCCTCGAGATCAGAGAGTCTCCCTGACTGCTCCAGGTAACCTGTTCCAGTGCTGCACCACCCTCCTGGGGAGAAGCTTCTCCCAGTGTCCACCCTGAACATCCCAAGCCATCGCTTAATGGCTGTCATCCACAGCCGTATCATCTACTGCTCCTGAGACCTGCAGGAGCTCAACCTCATGTCCCCCTGCACAGATAAGCTTGTACTTGCCTTTGGCGATGGTCCTTGCCACCCATCCCTCCCCAGCAACCAGGGCTCCACCAGCCCCCAGGGGCCCACTTCGCTTCAGGTTTCCCTGAAGTCAGTGGACTCAGCACAGCTGTGGGCTGTGGTGCTACAGGCAAGCGAAAGGCACCAAGTGGATATTCCCCTCCAACCTGGGGGCTCCAGCACGGGCTCCAGCATGTCTCTGATGTCCCCTGAGCCCCACGCTCAAATGACCTCCAGCCTCGGAAATTCTGGTTTTAGGTCTTTTTGCTTCTTTCTTTCATTCTCCCCCTCCTTTTTCCATCCTGGACTTTGAACCTCCCTATGATCTCTTCTTGTCCGCATGATTGCATCATTGGTGGCAGGTAAGGTTAGCATGAAGAGAAGGAAACACAAACAGCACTTCACACAGCATGCCGGCTGCTGGGAGAACCTGCAGCCAGCAGAGGTTACAGACCCCAGTCAGGTCTAATAAAGACCTGCATCACTGGAGGGGCAGGAACTACAATTGCAATTATTCATGTTGAAACAGAGGTCACCGCGTCTCCTGCTTCGGAGGCAAATCTGAGCTCTGCAGGGCGTCTCCGGAGGAGGTTTCCTTTGTGCACAGCACTGAGCACGGGGGCCAGGGCAGCCCAGCAAGGCTCTGCTGCCGGCCGCTCAAAGGAAGAAACACCATGTGGTTTTTTTTCCTTGTCGCTGTGGCTCAGCAGGGACACAGCATATGTGTGGAGAGAGGAAGGGAGGACCTTCTGTTGCAGGACGGGGCCATGGGCACGTGAGGCACTGGGATTTGGGGTTGCTGTGGCCAGCACTAAGGAGCTGCCATCCTGAACATGGAAGACCTGAATTCAGCTCCTCTCCCGAATGCCTTAAAACAATACTGGCCAGAATATCCCTGGCTGCTGTCCTCTCCACACAGCTCCGTCTTGGGGGGTACCTGCTGTGCAGGCACTGGCAATTCAAACCTCTGCTCGTTTCTGTCCCCAGCTGACAGGCCACATAAGACAAGGAGACCAGGGGGGGCTGCGCAGGGTGACTACCGCCCACCCGGCAGAGGTGGGATGAGGATGCTGTTTACCTGAGGAATCTCACTGCTCTGGCGGGGGCTGTGGCGCCATCAGCAATGTCGGCTGGCTTGCAGGATCCTTTCTGCAGAGCGAGGGGCTTGCAAGAGGTGCCCCGTGCAAGTGTGAACATTGCAAAATTCAGGACATCTGCACGGGTTCCAGGCTGATGCGGCTGCTCAAAAGTAATTATGAAAAATATTAGCAATTGAATTGGGAAGGCATTGCAAAACAGCTAAGTAGAAAGAAAATAAACCAGTGTGCTGTGATTGATGTAAGCACGTAACAGCCTCCACATGTCACTGGGACCAGTGCAATCCACACCAGCTGCTTCCAA